CAGCGTGTGTGTGCTTAGGCATCCCCCCCACCCGCCTCGCAGGAACGGGAGCGCCTCGGCACCGCAGTGCAGCAGGTGGGCTCGCATTAAAGACCGGCATCCCCCTATCTGGGTGTTGCGACAGATGGTGGTGATCTACAAACTTCTGTGGCGAAGGGAGGCTGAGGCTGTTGCTCCTGAGGGGTGTGAATGTTCTCCAGTTCTTGGTTGGGCTTTTCTCACTCATGTCTGAAAATGTGGGAGTGGAGCATTTGAGCCTGGGCTGGATTTGACTTGAGCCATTGGAGTTATCTGGGCTAATTCGGAGGAGGGCAGGCTCGTCCTGAGCCCAGAGACATGGTGGTGTGCCCAAGGTGGGAGCAGGAGAGCTGGTAGCAGTGCTGGGTACGCAGGATGCCACCCTGCTCAAACCGCTCCCTGCTCCTTCTGAGGCTGAAACCCCAGTGTGGCTTTGGCTCTGCCATCTGGCACGTTGTCACCCGGGGGTGTGCAGGGGGGTTCCGTGCCGTGGTTTGCTTCGGGAGGGGACCTGTGCCAGCTTGGGCCATGCGTGCTGCGTGCCGTGGTGCGGGCAGCTGCCATTGCAGGCGACGCTCTCCTGTTCACCCGCTGCCTCGGAAGCGCCGACGCACATCGCAGACACAAACAAGCGCGCCGATGCGTCGGCCTTGCTGCTGTATTGATGTTTGGTTAATGAGAGTTGGCGTCCAGAGCTGCTTATCCCTTGCCCTTGAGCATAGAACAGCACTTGGATGGGCCCCAGCCTTCAGAGTCATGCTCATGTGAAGGCATTGCAGCAGGCCTGATGGGGGGAGGCTGTTCCTCGCTGTGGGATCAGGGACTGTCAGGCCCGAGGAGCCCAATCCACCTGAACTCGTGTAGCAAAGCCCAGGTGAGGGGGCTGGGGCAAGAACTGTGCATTCCCCTGCAGAGAGGGCTGGGTTGGGGGTGTCTGTCCAGCCTGTTTCCAGTCAGCGTGGAGGACGTGGTCGCACTGGCCGGGCAGGTGCTCTGGAGAGCTGATGGAGGGGGCTGCAAGCAGCTTGCAGCCCTCAGCGTTTGCATAGGTGGGTGGAGGTGGCTGAGAAGGCTTGTGGAACCGGGAGGGGGAGAGCTCTTAAGGCAGCGCGAGTTGGCCACTTGCCTCCCAGGGAGATGCTTCCTAGGAGCCATGGCTCGAATACAGGGAGCAGATGGGTGAAACGGGGAAAGGGGCTGTCTGGTGGTTCCTGCCAGCAGAACTGTTCACCTGGCAAATCCAGTGAGGGAGTTCTGTGGGATCCATCAAAGCTGTTGCAAAACCTGTTGAGAATCAGGAGAGGAGACGTTCAGGCTGGGGCAACCCTAAAGGCCCAGTCTGTGCCACGATAGGTCTGCCTGCATCCTCCCTGCGTGGGGGTTAGCACCACAGATCATCTCCTGCTGCGCAGCAGGGCCGGTCTGTCACGTTTCTCTGTCTCTGTGGTCCAGTGCAGACATCAGAGCTTCGTTTCAACCTGCTGTGAATTAGCCAAGACCAACTGAAAGTATCTTGTGGGTAGCTCCTCTGAGAGCCACGGTGCAGGGCACGCTGTCGGATGGCTTTCCCAAGGCAAGGCACGAACATGGCTCACATTTCTCTCCTTGCTTTGGGAAGGTCAAGTGGCATCTCAGATGCTTCTATACCTTGCTGTGTGGCTTGGTGGTGAGCCCTCTGTCTCTAACAGGAGGAGGAAGCCACTCGAAGTGGTCTCTGGCTGCTGTGAAGCCACACGCTTGTCAGATATGATTGGAAGTCCTGATGCAGGAGAAGTGTTGATGGGCAAAGGACTCTGTTGAAGTAGAGACCAACCCCGGGACATGGGCGCAGGCTCCCAGGGACCCGGGATGTCGGTGAGGGCGGGCAGGCTGTGAACTCGAGCAGCAGCTGGGCTTGTTCGTGCTGTGCCAGAGGGTCCAGCGCTCTGCTGGTGCTGCAGACGGGGCTGGACACCTTGTGTAGCCAGCTCACAGGCTCGTGCCCAGCACGCCTCTCGTCCCGGGGCCGGCGGGTGGCTGGTGGGATGCCCGGCTTCGTGGGGGGTGGGAGGCAGCAGATCCCCGTGCAGCTCATCCCTGTCTGGGCAGGGACTCCTGGGTGCGGGGGA